CAATTCTAATTTCCCACTCTTGTCACTCCCTTTTACATTAGCAATTTTTATTTTCTAATGGTTTACCATTATCTCAAATTATCTTGTGTCTTAGTTGGGGCTCCTGGAAAGAATGCAAATTTATTTCTCACAGTTCTGGAGGCTGGGACTAAGATCAGGGTTCCGACATGTTTGGGTTTGGGAGAGGGCCCTCCTTCTGGCTTGCAAATGGATGTCTTCTTGCTGTGTCCTCATATAGCAAAGAGAGAGAGATCATTTCCCTCATATGTCTTCTTATAAGGGCACTAATCTCATCATGAAAACTCTACCCTCATGTCTTATTTACCTCCCAAAGGCCCCATCTGTAAATACCATCATATTGGGGATTAGGGTTTCAACATAAGAATTTTGGGAGGGCAATAACATTCAATCCATAGCATCTTGTTTGTTTATTTCTGCTTTGTTTTCAAGTTTGTGTCTCTTCATTAGGGTGTGAACCCCTTGAAGGTGGGATGTTTTCTAACTTTCTCACTTTCCTACCCCCAGCACTTACAACAGGGCCTGTTAACGAACATGCATTCAATAAACAGGGGTTCAATGAAAAAAATGAATAGTCATAGCATTGTTGTGACATTGAAATGAGATGATTAGATGATTCATGTAAAGTCATAGGACATTGGCTATTACATAGTGGGGTTAATAAATATTTGTGGACAAAATAAATAAATAATACAACTTATAGACATATGTGCTCTATTAGGGCCCTAAGCAAAGCCCTGTAGGTCTACAGAGGAAAGAATGATTTAAGTCCATTTAGGAGGGCGAGGGGAAGGTCTCAGAAGAAGTGGTCTTGGAGTTGACTTCTGAATGATAATCAAGGCTTTTGACAGTCATGGGAGCAGGAAAGTAAAGAGGAGGTATGTACAAAGACAGAGGGTGGCATCACCTTGGATCTGTTAGTGTGTCATGTGCCCACTGTGCCAGGAAGGGAATGAGGCTGAAGAGGATGGAGCAGGACAAATCAGAGGGTCTTGAATACCAGGCTTAAGGTTTTTTTTTTTTTTTTTAACGGGACATTTAATCACTTATTCAACAGGTATTTATGGACTTCCACTATTACTGACTACATGGTTCAAGGTGCTGGAGAAAAAGAAATGAAAAGAACTTCAAGGTCACTGCTCTCACAAAGCTTTCATCTTACCATCCTTTGCCTGCATGCTGGAAACCAAGTGCCCAAAAGGCTGTCAGCGTCGCCGGCAGATCTGGTGCCTGCAGCCCAGGTCTCTTGACAACCTGTTCTGCATTGCACCAACTTGTAGGGAGCTGGTTTTCAACATAACCACATCTTCACCACCCCTGGTCACATGCCTCCCTTTCAGTATGTATGAAAAAAAGAAAGAATATTTGATCATCTCGAATTCGGGGAACTTAAGTACGTAACGGAGTTCCTAGAAAACAAACAGTAAAGAACACATAGCTAATTCTGAGAGAGGAGAGTAGAGGAAAAAAACTGAAGACAAGAAATTCAGTGCTGTTGGTTTGGAAAAGCTTTTTGAAATGTCCTAATTCTAAGATTGCCTTAAAAAGATTTTAAGGCAATCTTAGAATTAAGAGTCATTCCTTATTTTGATAATCAAACCCCTAAAATGGTAATAGCACTCAAATACAATTTAGTCTTATCTTATCCCTCAGCAGGGTACGAAATTACCTTTCTTCTTCAAGGAAGAGTGAGAATGTTTGCCTGATCAGAGGATTCAATAGATGAGAATCCCTTAAGTACTTTATGATGACTCCTGAGGCTGGTCAGCAGGAATTGATTTGGTAGGATTACTAAAAGCTATCTCTAAACCCAGCAGGGATCGTAAAGATGCCTGAAGACAAATGGCTCTGGATGGCTTTCATCAGAAGATCTCTAAGTGAAAACAAAATAAAAGCAAACTGCATGTCTTTAAACAAGAGCAGGGAAGTTGAGAAACTCCTTTACTACTCATCTTGCTGCATAAGTATTGTACTATTTCAGTTGGTAGAAAAGATTTGATAATCATTGTGTTGAAGTATTTTTAAAAAGGGGCTTTGGAGACAGAATCTTCAATTGAATTACACAAGGAACACTGACTGTGTGACCTCAGGCAAGGTAAACTCTGTGCTTCCTGATTTGTAAAATGGAAAAGATTATCTTTTTCCCTCATAGGGTTAGTTTGACGATGAGATAACTCATGTGAAACAAACTGGCCCAGGTGAACATTCATTGCATTTTTTTCCCAAACTAGTACAATCTTTCTAATATGTTATCTCTCTACTTGAAAGATGGCTATATTAACGCCTCTGCAAAGATGGGAATCACCTGTTACAAATCCTGGAGTCTCTGGATTCAAATCCCAACTTCACCACTTACCAGCTAGAGTCCTTGCACCAATTACTTAGTTTCTCTCTGCCTCAGTATTCTTATTTGAAAAGGGAGATAATGCCTACATCAAAGGGATGCTTTGAAAACTAAACAGATCACTACATGTAAAGCTATTAGAAAAGTGTCTGTCACAGAGAAAGGTCTTAGCCTTGACGCATTTTCATTTTCACGTTTCTTTCTTTGGAAAAAATGTCGATTGGTCCATCCAACCTACAGTGGCCCAATATACTACCACATAAACGTACATTGAGGCTTTGAAATTTTCTGAAAGCTTTGACATCTCCCACTTCATTTGACTCTCCTTATCACCATGTCAGCTGGCACAGATACATTAGATAAAAGAATAGTTTGGGTTACTCAAAGAGGACATTTTTGGATTTCTTAACTGGTCATTTCTGCCACCATTAGACAAAAGGATGTGTAATCTCTTCTTGGGCATTTTCCCTGGGGAAAAAAGAAATGGCAAACATTCCCCAACCCCATAATTATCTCCAGTATCCTCTCTACAATAGTAGTTCCTCCCCATGGCCTCGAAAATTACTGAGTGCCTACTCTTTGCTAGGCACTGTTCCAGGCATTGGGAATGTCTGGTAAACCAACCAAACATGGTCAATTTGGTCATGTGAGACAGGAACAGACATATATATGTGTGTGTGTGTGTGTGTGTGTGTGTGTGTGTGTATGTATATACTTAAATATATACGTAAATTACTTTCATATATATATATATATATATATGAAAGTAATTTGTCAGATGCAAATTACCACATAGTACTATTATTTATGTGGGTCTTCCAAATATCAAACAAAAAATTTTAAGAGGACAAGAACTTGCTTTAGAAATAGTTGAAGGAATTTAAAGGTAAAAACTACATATGCATATGCAAATTACTAATTCATGCAGGAGTCCGGCTTCTTCTTAGACTGAGTCATCTTTAACCCAGTCTCCTAATTCTTGGTAAAATATTTCTACATCCATACTAATTATTGCTATTTCTAACTCATGAATTAAGATTTGTAATTTTGGAGCTGGAAGAGGCTTTACAAATCATTTACCAGTGCTTTCAACTTAGAGGTACTGGGCTGCCCCTCTCTACTGGGTCTCTTTTTCTAGGGCTTCTCTTTGGTGCACTCCCTGGGGGAGGGGTGAACTTCTAGCCCCCTTGATGACAGGCTTGGTTTTGTGACTTGCTTTGACCAGTAGAATGTAAGTAGAGGTGATAAATGTCACATCTGACCAGAAGCTTTAACACACATTGTGTGGTTCCACCATTATTGTTTTTCCTCTGTTGGAATAACAGCTTGTTCCAGATGGAGGCTGAACCTTCAGCCCGGACCTCCAAATGAAGAAGCTACATGGGGTTCAGCTGCAGGTAATTAGCAACTGATGTATAACATGAATGAGAAGTAAATCTTTGTTTTTGTGAGCCCCTGACATTTCTGGGTTGATTAATGCAGTGTAACTTAGCAAGCCATGACTATTTCAGGAATCACTGTCCAGAACTATTACTTTCCAATGAGCATGCATCTAACTCATGTGAGTGCCAGGACTAGATCATATCTCCTACCTTACTCCAGATTTTTTTCCACTCTAGCAAGAAGGGCCTTTTCTTCGTGATGCATTTTCTTTTCTTCCCCATATCTATTAGTGGAAAATTGTGAACACTGCCCCACCCTATGGCACCCTCCCAATATCTACCCAACTCTGCCCCAAATCTATCAGTGTTGAAGACAAAGGAGGGAAAACAATGCTGGTTCCTGAGACAATTGATAATTTGGGAGGGGTCACAGCTGTTGTCCTCTATGAGGTGCACAGGAAGCAGGTGAGGTCCACGTGGAAGAGACCAGAGGTGGTAGTACTGTTGGTCTAGGGTATGTGAAAAACAGGAATTTGTCTTCCAATATAAGATCAACAGCATGAACATAAGGTCCCTCAAGAAACTCCACTGGCATTTAAAATAAATCCTGTGTAAAGGAAAACTTTATTTCATAAGAAATGATATATAGGTTTTGCAACACAGACACTGAGCTACATTCACTATGTTCTCTCTGCATGTGACATGTGAGAAGCCAGGAGAAACTCCCTATCAGTTAAGAGGACTCTTTAACAACCATCTTTTAAAGTAAGATTCTGAAGCTACAGTAAACACATACTATATAACCATATTATCTTTCCTTTTACATAAAAGATTAAGTTAGAGAGGATATTAGGGGTCATCCAAGTCACAGTCCTACAAAATGTGACAATTATTATCATAAAAACTGCTCAGCCAGGTGCTGCTTCTTTAATTCCAGCTATGGAACCTCCAGTTTAAAATAAATCCAACAGTTGTAAAACTCTCCCTTGATTTTATTTGAATTGGATGCAAAGTTTCACACAATATTGTGTGCACTGCTATCCTAGTAAGATTCTTATGGGTAGAAATGATACAACTGGAATTTGAAGCTCTTGTCTATGCAGAAAAGAACCCATCACCTATGGGGGCAGCCAGAGGGGTGGATTGGGAAGAGTTCATGGGCCAGCTCACACCATCTATCATGTTCAAATGCTGACCACAGTAGTCTCAATCTTAATGTAATTCACTGCCCTTGAGAGGTCTTTGGTGAACTCCTGTCATTCTGACTCTGTCTCCTCAGTAACAGGAACACCTGTGCTGAGCAAAATGGAAGATCCTGACTCTTCAACGGCCTCTTGATATCCATCCAGGTTGGGGAAAGGAACGCCTCCCTCACTCAGCAGACTGGCTAGGGAGCCGCTATGGCACATGTGGCTGGTCTCGGGTTCTCTCCCAGACTCTGATTCCACAAGTTGACAGTACTGAGTGTGCCTGCCTTTAGCACTTGGCTGTTCCCAAAAAGGACAAGGCAAAGGAGGTGACCTTTTTCATATCTCCTTATGATGTGGGGAGAGAACTGTGCAATACCATTTAATATATAAAAGTGAAAAACTATTTGAGTCAAGCAAAAACATCTGATCAGAATCACTCTGTTCCCAGGATGTTTAGGATGCTTCCTGATGAGTTAGAGAGGAGAGAATGGAAGGTGGGAGAGAAGGGAAGAAAGACTGTTCAAAGCGAAATAATAATTGTATTTAATCACAATGTCAAATAATGCTGGGTTAGGGAAGCTAGATATTTGCTTCACTGATACCTTCTGTGGCTCTATTCATTTTTGCTCAAATGGGTCTAGTCAACTTCTACAGTTATTATTCAGCCAATGCATATAATAGATTTCATCAGGATAAATAAAAGAAAAACATCCCCAATAATCCTGTGTGGAGAGACAAAGATACTATCTTTTTAAGAGCAACGACAATAACCAAACAAAAAAAGAACGCTATAAACTTCTACGGAAGATAAGAATATAAGGTAACAAGAATCTTTGCTCTCAAGAGAACACTGCATTATCTACTGCCAACCTCTTAGTTTACTGATGAGATCGAAAGCTGATGATTTATTGTAAACGGGAAAGAATACTGCTTTTGGGAGCTGTTTTAGCCTGGACTCCGTGTTCTCTTGAAAAATAAAAAGGAAACTTTAAATTGGATTTCTGACATTGGTTGAGCATTTTCAGTCCAAAATCTATTAGGTAGATTAATTTTAAAATAGGGCACCATAAGCACAATATAGCTTTTGAGAGGCTACTGCTTTACAATCAATGCCTTCTAGATCTCTCTATCATTGTAGACACAACCCCAACAGCCTTGACGCCTTTAACAACCACTCACTCTTCGGTGCTGTAACCAAGGCTTTACTCTCTTTGGAAAATAGTACTTCTCTCCAGGTTTACCAATTGAGAGCTCCCTCTCTGTAAACCCTGCTAGGCTTGGAAAACAAGGATGTGGGGGCCTCTCTTCTGGCTTCATTTTGGCACTTCCAAACCACTGATATTTTTAGTCTAACCCATATGGATCCAAACCTAAAAGTTATGAAAGGGATGTCACTCAGATGCAACCAACATTATTGATTCTTATATATTCTTTTAAAGACATTGTAGGTGTATATTAATATAAGTAAACTCATATATAGACACTTCCTCTGAAACTCAGGCCATGCAACTACGATTCCCCGCTTCCACCCTGTACACTGCTGTCTCTACTCAAGTCCTGGTCACTTCCCTACATTCACTAAGGACCACGGCATCCACTTTCCTGTATTTCTTTCCACCTCCTGTTATCATCATCCTGGAGGATGTCAGTGACCAGGTAGATAGCACAACCCTTGGTTTGCAGTCCTTTGACTCCTTCAACTCTAACGAACCTTCTTATGTAACCCTACTTTAGCAACTCCCTCTTAACCTGAGATCTTAGATGCATAGTGCACCCTGTGACCATTCCCTCTATGTCCTTGCATGCCCCTGAATGCTCTTGCTGCTGTCCCTTTCTCTTTAACCTCACTGAGCCCTTCAGACACTCAATCCCTCTATATTCCCACAAGTTAACAGCCTTCTAGTCTTGGAGGCCTCACAACCCATCACTTCAAGTCCTGTTTTATCAATACTCCCTTACCACCGAGCTGCCGTGTGGCATCCACCCTGCAAAATCCCCACTCTGGAGCAATCCAATCATCAACATCTAGACTCCTTCATCTGGATTTCTGATGGAGAAAAATTACCAACCCAGCACAGTATGTTGCCTTTCTTTCTCCCATATCATTACCCTCTCCTTGTTTTCCCCTTGCAACCTCTAAAAAAAAAAAAAAAAAAAAGTCTCTCTCTAGAATCTTAAAAAATATTTCCTTGATTCTAATTCCTCTCTAAGTATCAATTCTTTAAATCCTGCCCCTTTACACTTGAGCTTGTTGAAATAGTTTATACTTGTTGTTTATTGTAATTTTAATTCACTTGTCATCCCCTGGCAGCCTGGTTCTTGCTCCACTACTGTGATGTAAAGACTTTTATTAATATTTTTAATAGCTTCAGAATTGCCAAAGCCCACGCACCCTTTCTAGCCGTTGTTTTATGTGACCTCTTTCTTTCATTTAACATTGTTGATGACTCACTCCTTAACATACTCCCCCCTTGGCTTTTGTAATATCATGCTCTGGTGTTCTCTTTTTACATCTCTATTTCTTCTCTGGATTCCTTATTTTAATGTCTTTTCAAATGTCAGCATTTCCCAGGATTCCAACACTCAGTACCTGGCACCTGAGTAAACTCATTGACTTCCCTGGCTTCAGCAATAATTTATACATGCATGATGCTTTCCTCCATATCCCAGGCCAGGAAATCTTTGCTGAAAATCTGTATCATTTTGCCAAATTCCCTCTGGCCACCTCTCATTGGATGTCCTATAAGCTCCTCAAACTCAATAGGTCCAAAAGGTTTCTCATCAATTTTCCAACAACACCTGCTCATTGTCCTGTGTTCCTTTTCCTAGAAAAACACCACTACCTTATCCTGTGATATCATACACCTAAAAGTCATGCTGAAATATTCCCAAATTCGTCTTTCAATCCTTCAGATTATACTTTTATAATCCTTCAAAACCATGTCTTCTTTCCTATGCTTCAATTCAGAAGCTTGTCACATCTCCACTGGATTACTGTGATAGCCTCCTAAACAGACAGTCTTTCTCCATTTTTGTCCAGCTGCAATCCATCCTCCATTGGCCTGCCATATTGGTCCTCAACAGCAAAATTGAAACAAAAAGTACTACACTACCCATGTAAGGTCCCAGCCCCAAATCCTTCAGAGGTTCTGAATAGCTTAAAGTCCTTTCATAAGTACAAAACCTTCACGATCTGGCTATTGTCTTCATATTCCAGTCACTCATATTTCCCGAAGCTTTCAGAATTATTTCATGCTTTGTCAGCCCTCTTAAATTTGCATAGGCCATTTTCTTTTGCTTGTAAAGTTCTCACAACTTTTTCCCATTTAACTAATTCCACTTCACTATTCAGAACACAAATTAAATCACTTCCTTTGAGAAACATCATTAGGTCTGATGTAGGCAGTCCCTCCTCTGTGTTCCCAGAGTATACAAAGGCTTTGACAGTGTACTCTTTCATTAACTTTCATGCTTCCACTGCGGCCAGTATAGTGCCTGGGACGTATTAGGCTCTTAGTAAAGACTGCAAGGATGAATGGGCTCTTAGGGCATGATGTGACATTTGTTGTTCTCAAATTCTTAATGAAGATCTATCACCTATCAGCTGGCAATTTAATTAACAAGTTTAAAGACCATATTTTCAGGTGGTTAACTCATTTTTAAACCATCTTTATTCATAAAGGTGACTTAAAGTTAAATATTGGCTTAAGTGTTAATATTATTTTTAATCTTACACATTTCTGAATGTGTGACAACTAAAGGTTCTAGAAAGCCACTTCCTTGGCAGCAAGAGCAGTTAATATTTAGTTTTATCACCAAAGGTGTTTTTCTTCTTAGTAAACGGTTGAGATATCACCCTTAACATGAATGTTAAAAAGATTGGGTAACAGGTGACTAAATTGATTATTTTAAGGCTGTGTGAAAAGAATATTTTCTCTACATTTTTGTCCCTTGATATGTTGCAGCTACTCCTTCAGGGGCTTTTAATATTGAAATTCAAGATATTGCAATGATTCTCATACAATCAACTCTGCTATCACGGTCAAAGTCTTTTAAAATGTATTCACAACCCACATTTGGTTTATGTTAAGATGAGAAATATAGATTCTAGTAGCAACAAAATACTCAGAAAAAAACAATAGTGGTTTTCATAATAATATTAATTTTGGAGCTGGAAAACTCTAAAATTGGAATGTTTTGAAAATGAAAAATCCTCGCAGAAGACTGGAAATATTTATATTTAAAAATAAAGAGTTAGGAATTAAAAAAAAAAGTAGAGTTTCCCTGACATACATGATCACGCTTAATCAACTTGAAAGAAACAGAAAAGATGTCTGTGCTAGTTATATATGCTATACATTTTAAGAGGCTAAATTATTTACCTGACAAGGATCTCTCTGTAACTTCAATAACTTGCATAATGTACATGTTAATAGGGTCCTTGTGTGGGCAGATTTAGTAGAGTATTTTAGACATTCTTTAAGTGGAAATTTTGATAATACATTAGATATAGACCATTTCAGAGTTGACAGAACATAGAAATTAGTGACATTATTTCTCTAAATATCAATAACTGATGCACCGTGGCTACTACAGTATATCATATATGGTAGGATGGTAGGGAATGAGTTTTAATAAAAAGTTGTCATGACATCTTTGGTATTACCGCATCTAGAAATGTAACTGCTTTACCTGAAATTTCAAAGGAGAAAGTTCTTCCGTGAAATATAGTAAGTGATAAAAGCTATGAGGGCACTGTTAAGATATCTTAAAGGTGCCAAAAAGAGCATTACAGTCTGAAACTAGGAATCAATCGTTGATCTGTGCAGTGCATTGCTAAGACAGGAATCAGATTACCAAATCATTTTGCGAGTACTTTAATATAAGATGTTGACAAACTTGAGGGAATTTGGAGAAGAGCTGATTGATTAAGAGGCTGGCAAAATGACTTACGAGACAAGATTATAAAAACTAAATACATTGTTCATCGACTAAGGAATTAAGTACTTCATGTACAGTACTTGTAACATTTTTCAGAGAGTGACTTAGGGGGATATGATACAAACTTCCAAGAATACGAAATGCATCACCATGAAGGGAAAGAGTTGTTTACGATGCTCCCTAAAGGGCATAACTAGAAGTCAGGGCATGAAATTGAATAAGAGTGAACATAGGCTCTGTATCTACAAAGTTTTCCCAGTAGTGATATCTATTAAATTGTGGAATGGCCTCACAATGGAAGTGGTGCAAAAGCCATCCTGTAAGTCATTTCACACAAGAGTGGACAAAGTATTCAA